ACACCCTTAAAAGAAACCATATGACCCAAATAAGCAATTTTTTTAATTCCAAAAACACATTTGGCCAATTTCACATGTAATTGATGTTGCTACATAAGTTCTAAGATCGTCTTCAAGTGGTCAAGATGATTAACCCAGGTATTGTTATATATGAGAATGTCATCAAAGAAAACAAGCACAAAGTGGTGCAAAAAGGGTTGAAATATGTTATTCATAAGAGCTTAAAACAAGGTCAGAGTATTCGTTAAGCCGAAAGGCATGACCAACCACCCATAATGCCCCTAATGTGTACCAAATGCAGTCTTACGACGATCTTCACATCAAAATAACATCTAGTGATAACCAGAATCCAAATTCAGTTTAAAAAAGTAGTTTGTACCATGTAACTCATCGAGCAATTTATCAACTGTGGGCATGAGAAAACAATCCTTCATTTTAATAACATTTAGTGCATGATAGTTTGTATAAAATATCCATGAACCATCTTTTTATTTTTAACCAATATAATTGGAGAAGAAAAGGACTAGTATTATCTATATCAATCCTTCTTGAAGAAGTTTTTGCACAATCTTTTCAATTTCAACTTTATAATTGAAAGAATAACAATAAAGATGAACTTTAACTGGCATAGCGCTTGGTAGCAAAGGAATTGAAAGATCATAAGAGCATGTAAGGGGTAAATGGTGGGGTATAAAGAAAACAAAATGAAAATAATATAATATGGACATGATGTCTGGATGAGGTAGGTATTTCATAGTGAGCAAAGGATCCACTGTAGTTGCCATAGGTTCATGATGAAATGTGAAAACCTCTGAAAAACATGTGTAATGTAAATGACATAAGTGATTATATAACATGTGTATGATATAAACAATGTAAGTGAAGATATTGGGCTTCAAAAGTCGAGCAATAATGTAAGATTCACCATGAATAATGATAAAATTGGGATCATCATAAAACTTAACACTAAGAGCACTATAATCTTCCACATGTGGCCCAAGTGTGGCCAGCCATGAAGCTCCCAAAATCCCTTTGCACCCATAACTGGAAAAAAAAGGCAAAGAGGTTAGTTGTGTGCTTCTGAATTTGGATAGGTATATGTTACGCCTTCCCTTCACAAGTTAAAAAATGACCATTATCCACCAAGACTAATCTTGTGCATATTCCATCATTAGTCCCAAAAATTTTGCAAGACAAGGTTGGATGAAATAATCCGAAGAACCACTATCCAAAAGAACTTGAACAATATGTTCCAAAATAGATCCTAAAATTGTAAAGTCTAGCTCTAATGAACCATGAAACGCATAATGGGAGAGATGATAAAACTGTCCAACATTTTTTGTCTGTAAAATTTTTAGAAGTAGCACCTTCAAGACTGGGCAAATCAGGTGGAGGATCGTCATCATATTGTAATAGTAGAAGTTGATGCTTGGGACAACCATGAGAAGGTGTAAATTTCTCATCACATGTGTAATAAAACCCACACTCAGGACGAAATTGCATCTTTATTGGTGATAGATATTTGATGTCTTCCTTAGAATGTGTGTTGGTGAGTTTCAAAGTCAAAGATGTGGGTAACAAACCCAAGAGAGATGTATTTGGTTGATATTGGACCAAAGTTTATGTACGAGTCTTAAAGTTGTGGTGTACAAGAAATGCCTTGTATAACTGTATAAGGATCACGACTTTCATTGATGACGATGGTGCTTGAACAATTACTTTGCACTTAATGTCATATTTAAACCCATTAATAAAATAATATATAAGAGTTGCCTCTAAAAGGTATTTTTGTGCAATGAACAAGTATAGAAAATTGATGATAATATTGGTGAATCGATTTTGTCTAAATCAATACGACTATGATTGCCTAATTGACACGACTCACACGCCAAACTAGACAAGTTAGACAAAGCAGAGACAAGTTTCTATAACTTGACAAGACTTGGATGACCTAACTGAGCATGAAGAAGAGAGGGAGACTCCACAACTGCACCAACATGTGTAGAGGGATGGAGATGATAAAGACCATGGGACTCATATCTTGTGCCAATCACCTGTTTCGAACTCCGGTCCTGTAAACACACAGAATTATTGGTAAAAGAAACAACATAATCAAGAGAACGAGTTAGACGACTGATGGGCAACAGGTTAAAAGGAGACTCGGGGACATAAAGAAGTGAAAAGTTTAACAGTTCCAACACTATGAGATGATACTCTAGAGCCATCAGCTAGTGTAACATAAGGTAAAGGATTAGAAGAGGATAAAGAGGAGAACAAAGATGTGTTACCAGTAATATGATTAGTGACTCCTGAATCAAAAACCCAAGGACCAGGAGAAGAAGATTGGGCCAGACTAGCAAAATATGTATCTATGTGTGCGAAAAACATAGTGGAACTAGAAGATTGTTGATCCTTATACCATTTGAGAAATTTGTTGAAGATAGCAGGTGTGTCGGATGCAACAGAAGAAGGAGGATCCCCAGCAGACAAAGGTGGGGAAAGATTGGTCTAAACAACTGTAGCAGATCGAGGAGGACGACCATGTAATGCATAACACTTGTTAATCTTGTGACCTAGTTTGCCACAATGTTCACATTTAGGACGCCCTTTTCCTTGTTTGCGAGGGCGAGTCTGATCATCACGATGAGATGCCAACACAGAATAATCATTAATATAATTGGAAGTAGTAGAAGGAGTGGAAGAAGTCATGAAGGGCAGGAGAACAAACCCTAAAAAAAAATCCAAAGTAATACAATCAACCCACGAAGCACAGATCCAAAACGAGAATACCAAAACAAGTCTGTCGAGACTAAACGACGTAGGAGACAATAGACAACCAACTTCGATAGTGGTGATCTCAACGGTACGGTGATCACCTTACTGAAAAGAACAAAACCGTATGTCACTGGTCAAAAATGAAACTTTGGCGGCAACAGTGACAGTAGCGTGAACCTAGTACACCAGGTAAGTTCCCAAGAAAGAGAGGTGAGTCACTAATGGACACGTTTAAATACCAAGTCTTTCCTTGTCAGAACCTTCCTAGACATGCACTTTCACACTACCAAATAATATCCAATAACAAAGATAATCCTTTTCTGATGTGGAAGATTAGTTTAACCGGCAACAGCGGCGGTGGCGACTTCAGCAGTGGATAATGGCGAAAAATTTTCAAAATAACTTTAAACTCTAGATATCATGTTGAATATAGAGGAAATATGATTTGAGATTAATCTCCCTTATGTATAAACCACACATAGGGTAATCTATTTATAATAGAGAGAGGTACAACTAAAAGAGTAACCGAAAGTAAACAAAATAAACAAAAGATATGGTTTAATATTGTGGTTAATAATATCTAACAAGTAATAAGGTAAATCAGTTAAAAAAAAACTACAATAAAAAGCACAATCTAAAATAAATTTAGACTTATGAACGTCTAAAATTCCCGGTCAATAAATCTTTTCATATGATACATAAATGATAGTAAGAATAATATAAAATAATAATATATAAAAATAGTTTTTAGTAATTGATTTTTTTTTCCTTTCCGTCTTATTCTAATACAATATGTAATAATTATTATAATTTTAAGAGTAAAACATAAACCGTTTATAAAAATTAGTGGAAACATACGCATATGTATGCATGTCCTTATTTGTATTATATTTTTTATTTTAATATATTTATTAATTTTAAAATATAAATATTTATTCTTAAAATTATAAATAGTTAAAATTAAATAAACCTCACATTGAATTTTAAGATTAAGAAAGAAAAAAAAACATACAAAGTGAGGAAATAAAAAATAAATGATATTTTTTTATTATGTTATATTTGAACAAAAATATTGAAACAATAGAATAATTAGAAGAAAAAAATCTAATATAAATATAAATTATATTTTTTTCCTTGATAAAAAAAACGAGTATAAAAGAAAATCTTATATAGATTATATCTAATTATAAATATATTTTATTTTAAATTTAAATTTTGATTAAATATAAATAAAAATGCATCGTTCACTTCATACATGCTAAAATATTTCTCTAATTTAATTTACAAATTTTATAAAATAAAATCATAATCTATATGAAACATTTGTTATTATTTTTATATATACTTAGTTTTATTATATATTTATATTTTTTATTTTTTATTTTTTATTTTTTATTTTTATTTTTTATTTTTTATTTTTATCATTAAAGTACATTTCTAATTTTTTTAAATAAGTTATTAAAATTTTAGGATAATTTTATGAAATTTTTTTATATTGCATATTTTAACTTACACATCCAAAAATATTTATTTATTTATTATAAATTTTATTTTAAAAAAAATGTTTATACTATAAAAATTATAATTAAAATTACAAATAAAATGTTGGTTGTAGTTGACACAGTGTTGTGTGCCTTTCATTCCCGTGCAATTGTTCGCGGTCGCCTGAAGCTGTTACCCTCGTGTGTTTGTTCTCCGCCGTCGGTAGGTTAGTTCATCCCTGCCACTTTCACTTTATCTTTCTTCCATCACATCAATCCTTGTGACGGAATCTGTTCGTGTTAGAGGCAGTCCTCAAGAAAATCGTTTTGACTCGTTTAAATTTTATTCTTCTTCTCCAACTGAGTTTTTGGATCTTCTCGATTAAGATGAGCCTTTTCCAATTATGGTTCGTTTCGATGAATTTGAGAGGCGTTATTGACCTTTCTCTCTATGTACACATGCGGCGATTTATTTACGGTTTAATTTTACTGAGGTGGTCTTTTGATTCAATTATTCCTTTTTTTTGTTCACTGTGTCATGAATGTTGTTAAACAGTGGAATTAATTTCCATCACTTCCCATTGAAAATTGATTTTATAAACTTGATGAGCAAGCTTAAGTGAATTGAAAAAGACCATCTGTTTCAACGCATAAATATGTTGATTCTTCTGTATCTAATATTCTTTGTGTGTTAGTTCGTTGAACTCACTGCATTGAGTGAAATCGGTCCAAGTTGTGATTAGAATGGATGGGCAACATCAGAAGCAAAAGAACAAGTACAGTATAATTGTTCCTACATATAATGAGCGTCTCAACATTGGTCTCATTGTTTACCTAATCTTCAAGCACCTTCGGTAATTTCTCCATGACATGATTATATCTGCTCCCTTTTAATTATTTTTTCTTCTGTATTAGTATAGTTATAAATCATATAATTTATAAGCTGAGTTCTCAGTAAGTATATTATGATTTGGGCTATATAAGCATGTCTATGTGTAGAATGCAAACAAATAGTAATTACTTTGGAAAATATGGCTTATATTTCAAACCCAAATACAAAGAATTTTAGCAAGAAAATGCCTTTGTTTTCCTGTAAAAAATTTTACAAATTTATTTCTTATGCCATCTGTATAAATGATCAATCATCTTTATGAATACTTTTTGTTGCTCAATTTAGGGATGCTGATTTTGAAATTATTGTCGTGGATGATGGGAGTCCTGATGGTACTCAGGATGTTGTAAAACAACTGCAGCAAGTTTATGGAGAAGATCGGATCGTAAGCAGTGACATTTACTAATTGAATATTCATATAGACACAATTATTCATCCATGATTTATTCTATTTTATGGGGTCTATCTCTACCCCTTCATATCATTTAGAGTAACCATGCGTATTCCTGTGGTTCCAGCTGTTAAGAGCACGGCCTAGGAAGATGGGTTTAGGTATGTATCTGATACTTGCACCAATGTTTTTGATAAGTTCGCGTTTGATGTAATTAATCTGCAGGAACTGCTTATATTCATGGCATGAAGCATGCATCTGGAAATTTTGTTGTCATCATGGATGCTGATCTTTCACACCATGTAAGTTTTACTATTCGCATGTAGAGGATAGTTTGAATTTATTAAGAATAAATGAAGACCTGTTTGTCTTACATACGATTATGAGTCTCCGCACTTTTCCAACACTAAAATACATGGCTCAAGAAATTTTTCAAATGTTAATTTTTGGGCCTATTTGATTTACACCAGCATTTAATCCCTGCATCGTGCCCATGTTTCAATGTAAAATTTGTGGTGGAGACTAATTTGGGTACATAAACCAATTAAATTCTATGGTTCAAAGTCAATTATACCTAACATTAAAACAAACGGGCATTTAATCAACCACAAAACACTGTTTCCATCTATATTAAAACAGGCTTTAAATTTTAAAAAATTAACAGTTGGATTAACTTCTTAATTGGATTTTTAGTTCAGAGAATTTATTAGTTGCAGTATATATTTTTTTTCTTATTTATTTTTCTTTGTCTGATCTATTAATTTCTTCTGCAGCCAAAATATTTGCCAAGTTTCATCAGGTAAAGAAAGCTTCTAGTGATTTCTTTCTTATTTTCTTATTACTTGGCACAAGTTAATCCTTCCGTTTTGCATTTCAGAAAGCAGTTGGAGACTGGTGCTGATATAGTTACAGGGACTCGTTATGTTAAAGGTGGTGGTGTGCATGGATGGAATCTTATGCGCAAACTAACTAGCAGGGGAGCAAATGTTCTTGCACAAACACTTTTATGGCCTGGTGTCTCAGATTTGACAGGATCTTTTAGGTATAAAGCTCGACAATTGGTATTTGCAGTTTCATGAGAGTCGGTTGCTCCTCTATTCCCTGGTGTTTCAGAGTGATGTATTGTTGTTCTTTGTAGACTTTATAAGAAATCAGTGCTTGAAGATATCATTAGTTGCTGTGTTAGTAAAGGATATGTCTTTCAAATGGAAATGATAGTACGAGCATCTAGAAAAGGATACCATATTGAAGAGGTACAGTTGCTCAAATCACAATTCTTATAATTAATATTAGCCTTGTTACTGTCTTGACTTCATAGATCGAGTTAGATACCTAATAGCATTGATCAGTATGCTATGTGTTTTCCATTAGTATGTGTCTTGACTCTTGATATAACTAGTGTAGTTTCTTTTGGTATATATTTTGTTCCTTTTGTTCTTAAAACATGTCAAACATGTGTCATTTTTAAACTGTAGGAGTACAGATGTTTGTTGGTGAATCCTTGAACTAAAAGTGTTCCCAAATGCATAATACACTCTAATCATGTACCTTTGGGTCTTCCTTGTAATTGTTTTAAATTGGATTCAGTAATGGGCGATGATATGTTCATGCTTGTATGTTGTGGCAATTAGCGTGTGTTTTCCATGTAGACATACTAGCTCTGTATATTGAATCAAGTAATGGCTTTTGTTATCTGAGCATTTTGTCAAATTACTATTTAGTGAAGCTGTTGGTCTTCCATAGATAACTGCATCAAATTCAATAGATAAAGAGAGTCGTGTGACATGTAACTAATCACGAAAAAAATTGATATTAACATTGAAAATTTCAGTAATAAGCACTCGTACAGTCCTCTGCTTTGTATATAAACTGCTTGTACACTGGAATGGTAAACCGATCAAATACTGAAGTTTCTATGCATTTGATTGGATATAATTATGATTTTCTAAAATTTAATATTTTAATCTGTTATAACTTGGCCAACTTATAACAGTTACGGCCTTAGTTATCAACCCTTATAAATAATTGTTGTAAACTGTATTTGGGATAGACTAGAATTCATTGTATGTTCTCTTCCAATCTACCAATCTTAACATGAACTTTGGTTCCCGCCATTGGGTTCTCTCTCTCTCTCTCGGCATCCCGTCCGTGCTACTGATTTATCTTCATAACAATTGGTATCAGATTGGGCGATCCATGGCAGAATCTACTCGTAATGCAACATTACTTAAAGATATGAAAGAACGTCTTGTTGCACGATTGGAAGGCAGGTTGGCAGATTTGGCTGGGAATCTTCAAAGAACACTCTCTGAATCTTTGAAAGATACTATCCAAGAAATAGTTTAGCAATTTGTTCTACATTCAACTTCTGCAGATACTCATTCTTCTAATAGTCGTCCGCCTCCGCGCACAACCCCATCTTCAGTAAAGACCCGCTTCTCTCGTATAGAATTTCCAAGATTTAACAATGACAATGTTGAACAATGGATTTTTCAATGTGAGAATTTTTTCTCCATTGACAAAACTCCAGATGACTCGCAAGTACAATTCGCTATTATTCATCTTGAAGGCAGAGCAGCTCAATGGCACACTGCACTCGCCAAACATACCCCATGTTTGAATCTTTCTTGGAAAGCTTATTGTTGTTTGATTCGCGAAAGGTTTGGGAACATCTCTATCGATCCTATGGCTGATTTAATGAAATTACGTCAAACATCCATAGTTGATGAGTATTATGACGCATTTGACTCCATCATCAATCAATTAAATCTGTCCGAAGATTATACCATTAGTTGTTTCTTGGGTGGCCTAAAGAAGAACATCCAAATGCTTGTCCGCATGTTTCAACCTCCAACGGTACAAAGGGCTTTTGTATTAGCCAAGATGTATGAAGCATCAAGTACATCTACTATGGTGGATTCTTCTTGGAATTTTAACAAAACTAAGGGTCTTTTAGGTCCTACCCCTCTTAATTCGGTACCTCCTATTCCATCTAAATTTGGCGACAATAGTAAACCACAATTACGATCAATTCGTGCATTAATACCAGCCTTCATCAATGAACGACGTGCTAAAGGAATGTGTTATTTTTGTGATGAACATTATACTCCCGAGCATGGTCTTACACACAAGAAACTGCAACTGCATGTTATGGAACTCCAAGATAATCCACAAGAAAGTGACGAACAAAAAGATATTCCCTAACCACAAATTTCTGTAAGCACTTTGACTAGAGTAGCAAATTTTCAGACTATGAGAATTATAGGGTATGTTAATAAACATCCTCTACATATTTTATTGGATAGTGGTAGTACCCATAATTTCTTGGATATACAAATTGCCAAGACATTTGGATGTCTTATAGAGGAACGTGGCCCTCTAACCGTAACAGTGGCTGACGGAAACAAAGGTACAGTTGCCTCTATGGTTAGAAATTTTTCATGGCGTCTCCAACAAACAACCTTTGTTTCTTATGTGTTTTTAATTCCTTTAGGCTGTTGTGATTTGGTTCTCGGAGTTGAATGGCTTGTTACTTTGGGCGACATCATATGGAACTTTTCTAATCTTACCATGGAGTTTAGTGTCAATGGGACACACCATGTCTTGAAAGGAGCACATACACCACACCTCAAGACAGCATCCAAGCAACAAATGCTAAAAGCAATGGAAGGAGGTGTTCACATTTCTCTGTTGCAGCTATGTGACTCGAGAATAGATCTCTTTCACACGTTAACAGTACATGCGAAATCCCCACCCATTCCTCTGCCTATTCAACAATTGCTAGTTGAATTTGAAGATATTTTTCAACTACCGTCAGACTTACCACTATTTCTCTCCCATATTTACCAGGTGAATCAAAGATAGATTTAATAGACCGTAGCCTTGTTAAGAGAGAAGAAATGTTAAAAATTCTAAAATTTCATCTTCAAAGAGCTCAGAATAGAATGAAGCAGAATGCTGATAAACACAGATCGGACCGACAGTTTAGCATAGGTGATCTTGTTTATGTTAAACTACATCCTTACCGGCAGGTTTCAGTTGCTCAACGTGTCAACATAAAACTTTCACTCAAGTTCTATGGCCCTTTCAAAATTCTGGACAAGATTGGCACAGTAGCTTACCAGTTGGAGCTCCCGAGTTCCTCCAAGATACACAATGTATTCCATGTTTCTCAATTAAAGAAACATGTGGGTCAAGCTTCGATGGCTACTACTCTACCTACTACCACACAAGATAACGTCCTTGATAAAGAACCTGACCAAATTCTAGATCGCATCACTGTTAAACGAAGGAGGTTACTAGTAACTAAAGTACTAGTCCAATGGAAGCATAAGCTCCTTGAAGATGCTACTTGGGAATTTTTTCATGATCTAAAACAGCAGTACCCATCATTCTAACCTTGTGGACAAGGTTTTTAAGGGGAGGGCAATGTTATAACTTGGCCAACTTATAACAGTTACGGCCTTAGTTATCAACCCTTATAAATAATTGTTGTAAACTGTATTGGGATAGACTAGAATTCATTGTATGTTCTCTTCCAATCTTAACGTGAACTTTGATTCCTGTCATTGGGTTCCAGTTTTCTATATTTCTCTTCTTCCTTGTTTCCTGTCTTACGTTTCCTCTCTCTCTCTCTCTCTCGGCATCCCATCCGTGCTACTGGTTTATCTTCATAACATAATCTATATATGCATCTAATTTACGTGGGAAATTTGAATGCTAGTTGGTTAGGTTGTATGTTTATATAATGTGTTTAGCATTTTTACCCCCTCCTTTTTGTATATGGCGTAGAGTTCTCAATATAATTATCCTGTTCAATGCTTTTCACCGGGGTCATTTTTACTGCTCAGCTGACTTAAAATTCAAATGACAGGTTCCAATCACATTTGTTGATAGAGTATTTGGAAGTTCAAAGCTTGGTGGATCAGAGATTGTTGAATACCTGAAAGGCCTAGCTTATCTTTTGGTGACGACATAAAAAGATAAATCATTACTCATCTGACATTTTGGGTTGGAGGACTAGATATAATTTTGTTCAGTTAACTTTTTTATTGAGCACATCAGCTTGGCTGCTAGAATCTGCATGACTTGCCTTTTGAATTTAGCAGGAAGCATCTGTATAATTTAATCCTTCCTTTTGAATTTATTGAAGGCATTCTGTGTGTTTATAACTGTGTTAACCTTGGTAATCAATTCTCTGGATTTAGATGAACTTGTGACTTATGCGGAGGTGCACTCTGGTTTGTCCCATCTAATCGCCGAGACCCAAGCCTATACTTTTGACCCTTCTTAGATGGACATATAACTATCGGTATTGGGTCTCACTCTGTATGTGTTTACAGGAGAAATTCAGGCAAAACACGAACCTAATTGAATCTAAGAGAGAGAGAGAGAGAGAAATATGTAGGCATGCCAGATGATCTGGTATTAGGAAGAAAAAAATTAAAATTTATAAACTGTTCCATGATGAAATGTTTGATATATATATATAATATATATATATATATATATATATATATATATATATATATATATATATATATATATATATATATATATATATATATATCATTTCTCTTCAGTCAATAGTACTGTCTCACATACCTTATGCTATAAACTGTTCATCCCTAACATACCTTACCGGTTAATATTTATTTATTTATTAATATTAGTTATTCAATATATGTTGTTATGCTTACTTTAAATAGTTAATGGTGACCTAATACAGTAAAAGTGAAAGTAAACTTCGTTAATAGATGATTTTTTACCTATAAAACAAAATCTTACAAAAAGACGGTGATTCATTTACAATTTAACATGCATTAATGTACTCAGTTAATTAATTTAGTAATTAATTTAATAAAGTATTAGATTAAACAACAATGTAATATGCTCGACTCTCATTAGAGTATCTCCATCGGAGGATGCTTCAAAAATATTTACAGTTGTTTCAAGCAACTATTTTATTATTGGAAATTATGTAGCATATAGGGTTGTTCCATCTTAACATCTTAACAGAAAAATGCTTGGAAAAATAATTGGTGCTTCAAATAAAATATTATTATTTGCATCTTCTTCAGTAAACCCGGTAGAAAAATCATCAAATGTAGGAACCACAGTGAACCATAATGAATTTGTCATCATCAACCAGTCTATTACAGTTTTTCTGAGCAACAATTACTATCCTCCTAATTTACCTAACTTCATCTTCATCTTAACCTCTCTCGTTCACAACCTCAACAAAAAAAATTCTTGAATGTATATCAAAAAACTCAATCGAAAAAATAAACTTGTTGATGTTACATAAAAAGTAATTTATTTTCATTTAACTTCTAATCAAAAGCATAAAAACTCATCAATGGATAAAGAATTTGCAAACAGGGCACCAGGTTGTTGTCCTTTGATCTTCGAATATAACTAACCTCTATTGACAACAAGCTTGCAAATAAAGTTATCATCGCCTTGAATCTAGTTACAGCGAATGCAGAGACAACAGTCGCGAAGATAGCGAATGCGGAGGCAAGAAGATCTGGAAAATGAGAGGTGAGGGGAGGAAGAGGGGTGAGATTGAAAAAAAGAAAATGGAGAATGAAGATGGAGAAAGGAGACTTGAGGGAATAGAGTGCATGTTGAGAAGAAAATTAGACCGTTACAAATTATACCGTTACTAAAAAAAAGTAGTTGTTTGTCACTCATAACAAAAAGTAGCCGTTCGTTGAAGCTTATTTTTATACTATAAAATTTTCTCATTTTTATTTTTCTTCAATTATGGATCCCAATCAATTTAATTATCAGTATTATTATAGTTTATTGCAAAATCATTCATCTTTTACTGGTGAAATTTCTCAAAATTCTCAAAATTATATTTATCCACCACCATTTTTTATGTTTCCACCACCTCCAATGATATTAAATATGAGTAACATTTCTCCTTCATCCAACATAGAACCTCCTTCCCCGATTGGACTCGATAATATCCAACTTGATGGAAGCGGTGAAAATATATCTCAGAGGAAACCTCGTGTACCATTCTCAATACCAGAAGATTCTTATTCGATCATGGTTGAATGTGTCGAAGGATCCAATTGTTGGAGTTGATCAGTCATTAACCCAATATTGGAGTCAATTTCACAAACAGTGACAACGAACATAACATTTTCACAAACAAGTCAATGAGTCAATTAAAATCTCGATGGAGTAAACTTCACCCTACAGTTCAAAAATTTAATGCACGTTATAAACAAGCTACCAATCAAAGGAAAAGTGATTGGGCTGAGAAAGATGTTATGTCATTCGCACATAAGATTCTCACAGAATATTCGAAAGGGAAAAAAATTGAATTTGAACATGTTTGATTGTTGTTAAGAGATGAATCAAAATGACAATCAACATTTATGGATGATTCTTCAAAAAGATGCAAGATTTCTACTTCAGGTGCATACTCATTGTCTTCTAACTAGAGACACCGCACAAAGTTGAAGAATTTAACACAGCATCACCAATATCTCGTCCCATAGGACAAATGGCAGCCAAGAAAAATAGCAAAGGAAAAGCTAGTGCACGTGCTACTCCCCATATTAATTTATCTGGCATAGAAAATGTAATAAAGGAAAAAAAATACAAAGTTTGATGAATTGATTGAGTTAAAAAAGTCACAAGAAATGCATTTGGAATATGAAATCCTCATGAAGGACACGACTAACATGTCTGAGAAGCAACGTGAAGATCACGAAAAATATTGTAACTATATTAGATAAACACGATGATTTTAAATATATTAGCCATTATGATTATTAATTGTATTGGTTTGAAAAATGTATTAGTTATGCACAAATGAAAACTAGTCATTGTAAAACTATCCTTTGTAAAACTAGTTGTTGTAAAAACTAGCCACTGTAAAATTAGTCATTATAAAAACTAGTCGTTGTAAATTTAGCCGTTATGAATCTATATATAGTTTTGGAATGTCATGTAATGTCTCACATCTTATAGTGTTATAATATTATTCTCAATTTTCAAACACTTCAATTATCCATATAATGAAATTTGAAAACATTGATTTAAATGCATTATTGGATCAAGTCATAGATGGAGAACTCGAAGATAATCATGATGAAGAAATCATGAGGTTACTACTTGAGTACAGATAACAAGTCAACAACAATGGTGGTGACAAACAAAGAAGAAAGGTAGTTCATTGAAATCGTGTAGAAGGTCATCTCAATTTCGAAAAAGGTTCTGTATGTGAAGGGAGGTTTTTGTCAAAATTGTGGAAGCCCTTGACAATCACGATTATTACTTTACACTAAGGTTAGATGCTACACGAAGAAAAGGTTTATCACCTTTGCAAAAGTGCATTGCTGCTATTTACATATTGACTTATGGCTCACCTGCTGATAGTGTGGATGAATATATTCACATTGGTGAAAGCACTTCAGTAGAATGCTTACAACGATTTGTATCGGACATTTGTTTAGTATTTGAAAATGAGTATTTAAGGAGGCCTAACAATGAAAACATTGATCGACTACTACAAATGGGAGTCATATGTGGCTTTCCATGTATGTTAAGATCAATTGATTGCATGCATTGGGAATGAAAAAATTGTCCAGTTGAATGGAAAGGTCAATTTTGTCGAGGTAATCATGCTCACCCGACAATCATTCTCAAAGTTGTAGCATCTCAAGACTTGTTGATTTGGCATGCATTTTTTGGTACTGTAGGGTCAAATAATGATATTATTGTATTAAATGCATCTAATATGTTTAATGAAGCTATGTCAGGTGGTTTTGCACCTGCGGTACATTACACTGTGAATGGAATCCAATATGATATAGAATATTACTTAGCAGATAATATTTATCCAAATTTTGCCACATTTGTGAAAACTATTTTAATGCTACAAGGACAAAAGAGAAAATTATTTGCTCAATGACAAGAGTTATTAAGAAAGGATGTTGAATTTGCATTTGGAATCCTTCAATCTCGATTTGCAATTACACGTGACCCGACACGTTTTTGGGATGCTCATACATTGAAGAATATAATTTATGCATGTATCATATTACACGATATGATTGTTGAGGACGAATGACACAATTATCAAAATCATATTGATTATGATATTAAGGAAAATGAGATGTCAACCATTGCTATATCTTCAAGTTCTCATCCTAGTTTTAGATCTACATACTTTCAAAGGAGAGTAACTATTCAAGATAGAAATACTTACCACAAACTTCAAGTATATTTGGTAGAACATATTTGATAAAATTTGGAAGAAAAAATAATGAAATTTAATTTTATGTATTATATTTTTAGTATTATTTGATTTTTATTATATTTATTTAAATATTATGTATTTTTTATATTACTTTTATATTAAAATAAGGTATTATATTATTAATTAAAGTAATTAATTATTTAATGTATATATTTATTTTTATAAAAAATATTAAAATAATATAAAAAATATATAAAATAATAAATTGTTAAAAGTTGCTTAAAATTTTTACCATTAGAACAAAATTAAATAAAAGTTATTTAACCATGAGGTGTGACATCTTGTTTCACCATATTCTAAGGTACACCTTTTTTAACATTTGTGCATTGAAGATGTTCTTAGAGTTTATGCAAGTATTTATCAGATAGGAGATCTTTCATCTTATCGGCACCTGTTAAACAATCTTGTCGGCACTTGTTAAACAATCAAAATAATTATAACTAGAATTATTACTGTCATTACAATAAGAACCAAAACTCTCTTTTAATTTACTAAATTCACGCCTATATTCTAACTTTATATTAAATAACATAAAATTGAATCACCATTTTTTCATAGTATTTTTTATCCTGAATTTACATAAAAGTAAATTTACTTAATTCGCACCTATATTCTAATTTTATATTAAATAACATAAAATTTAACCATCATTTTTTCATAAATTTTTTTATCCTGTATTTACATAAAAGTATAAT